TGCTTGATCACTAACTCGCGATGATGAAGGGGCACGACTGCCTTTGTCGTGCTCCATCGTTTATACGCATTTCACATTTTTGTTTGTGGTCATTGCAATCGTCAGAGAGTGCCACGCCTTGTGCCACGCCATTCGGACCTGAGCTTGGTGTGATAATCCAGGGATCACGACAATCAATTATTGCTGCCAGAATTCACGGGTGCCAAACGGGCTTTGTCGTGGACATTGCTCGCATTAGCCATTCTGCTAACGTTACCACCCTCGCTTTTGGCGCGGGCTCAATTCTCCCCTGACCTCGCAGCGACTTGATTTGCTGGGTAGCTCTGCATGCTGGTGAATCCAAGGGACCGTGATGAATCCTCGATATTAAATGATCCAATATGGCGCGAACATCTCTCATCTTGGATTGGCTAAAAGGCAGCGAATCAACGCTACAGACGCCTCTTTTCCGCCAATAGCTTTGGCTTCGACCAAATGCCTGACCGGAAGGAAACTTCCACGGATTTTGTCCTAAATCTTCGAAAGGGATCGCTCTCAGTATCGAATATTACCCGATCGTTCCCTTGTGCGCGCGAATCGAGAGCAAATAAGAACTATTTGGCTGCGGTGATGCACCTCGACGCGCTGTGGTTCGCCAAGGCCGCGTACGCGACCTTCAACTTTGGCTTTGGTGCGATCCTCATCTTCCTGCCCGTGTATTTCAGCGCCTATTTTGACAAATTTCAAATCGGCATTCTCCAGACGCTGCCTTGCCTTTGCTCGATGCTCGCACCGCCACTGTGGGGCGCCATTTCGGACGCGCTGCAGCGCCCCCGGCTCGTCCACGTCGTCTGCTATATCTCCGGCTCCCTTCTCATGTTTGGCATGCAGAACGTCTCGGACAGCTTTGTTTGGACATGCCTGGTCTTCTTTTTTGCCCAGTTTCAGTCCAAGCCCGCGTAGACACTCTTGGACCAAGCGGTGTTGGCACTTGTGACGCAGCTCGGGGCCGAGTACGGCAAGCAGCGACTGTACGGCTCCATCGGCTACGGCCTCGGTGCCTACGCCACAGGCCTCGTTGTCGCCAACTACGGTATCGGCTGGGCCTTTACCATCAGTCTCGGCTGCTGCGTTCCTGGGCTTGTGTTGCTCTTCATGCTGCCGTCACCGCCACCGCGGGGGTCGTCGTCGGGTTCGTTCGCCGTGGGCGTGCGTGCGCTTTGGCACCGCTACGATCTCATGGCGCTTCTGAGCTTCGCTGCTGTCACGGGTGCCATGGGTGGAGTCATTTCAGCGTTCCTTACGCTCAACCTCTTTGAACTTAGCGGCGGGTCGGCGCAGATTGTCGGCCTCGCAGTCGTCTGCGAAACTCTCTCGGAGCTCCCCGCCTTTTACTGTGCCGACACACTCATTTTACGTCTCGGAACCGTCACCGTGTTGGCATTGGCGCTTCTTGCGTACGGCGTACGCCTCACGTGCTATGCATTCATGACGAACGCGTGGTATGCGCTACCGTTCGAGCTTCTTCACGGCTGCACGTACGGTCTCGCATGGGCTGCATGCACCAAATACGTGTACGCCGCAGCACCCGCTGGCGCGGAAGGTTTTGTTCTGGGGCTTCTTAGCGCTGTGCAAGGCGGCGTCGGGCGCGGCCTCGCGACCTTGGTGGGCGGACATGTCTACAACGCGTACGGTGCGCGCTATTTGTGGGGCGTCACGAGCACCGGCGTTCCGGCGGGCTTTCTTGCGCTGTGGCTATTTTCCCAAACGACCTCGACGAGAAAGAGGATCAGCGAAACGAGCCCGCTTATCGAGCGCAGTGGCAAGGACTAGTAACTGGGACGATACGCTACTGCTCTCGCGCCTTCGTATTTTGCAATAGAAAGCACTACAGTGTAGTTCAAGTGATTGTTTTGATTTGCAAAATCGCTCGATTAATGTCATTAGGCTAATGTTATGAAGATTCCGATCAAGGAGGCATCCAATTCAGGCTGGTGGATACAAAACACGAGGAATGAAATCATTGCAGTAACAGAACGAAGGGGACGTGCTATCATAGTCCAACTCTTCTCGCCCTCGTTGGCATTGGGTGTCCAGGCCGTCTCTATTAACGGTGTGCGGAGGAAGGTCCTTCTCGCCACTTTGATTCGAACGCCCAGATACGTGGCCTTCGATTTTTGTCCACCTGCGTCACCGATCCAACGTTCCATGATCCCAATCCTGTGGCTGCGGTCGCTTGTGACGATCGAGCCGCGGCCGTGCTTCCAGCACTGACCAACTTGAAGCACCGCATTTGAGCCAATCAGAACGCGCGAACGGCCGTTCTGACACGGAAATGGACAGTTGCGCATTCCCATTCTGATGGGCGCCGAGACCGAGCACTGGGCCGAGCTGCTGCCGGCCAAGGCCGTCTACACGGTGAGCAACATTGGCGGCAGCGCGCTCATCAACTTCCTCACGGTCTTCTTCGCCGCGTCCTTTGACAAGTTCCAGATCGGCATGCTCCAGACGATCCCGGCCGTCTGCTCGATCCTCGCGCCGCCGCTCTGGGGCGCCATCTCGGACGTCCTCCGCAAGCAGCGCCTCATCCACATTACGTGCTTGGTCTCTGGCACGTTGCTCATGTACGCGATCCAATTCGCCTCGTCGAGTTTTCTCTGGACGTGTGTGCTCGTCTTCCTCGGCAACTTTCAAGGCAACCCCGCAGCGTCGCTTACCGACCAAGTGGTGCTAGCGCTCACGGAGCGTCTCGGCGCCGAGTACGGCAAGCAGCGACTCTATGGCGCGGTGGGCTACGGTCTTGGCGCGTATGGCGCAGGCGTCATCGTCGCGCACTATGGCATTGCCTGGGCGTTCCACCTCAACTTGATCTTCTTGGTGCCCACGCTGCTCGTGCTGCAGCTGATCCCGCCGTCCGACGCCAATGACACGATTGCGTCGCCGTCGTCGCCAGCGTCCCCTTTGTTTGCCGTCGGGATGCGCACCCTCATGAAGCGCAAGGACGTGCTCGGACTGCTCTTTGTTGTCTTCCTCCTCGGGCTCATGTGCGGCACCATGTCGGCGTTCCTCACGCTCAATTTGTATGAGCTCAGTGGCGGGTCGGCGCAGATCGTCGGCATTGCGATCTTTTGCGAAACCTTCTCGGAGCTCCCGGCCTTCTACTTTGCCGACGCCATCATCGCCAAGCTCGGGACGGTCAAGGTGCTCGCGATCTCAATTCTGGCTTATGGCGCGCGGCTCACGTGCTATGCGCTTATGACGAACGCGTGGTATGCACTGCCGTTTGAGTTTCTTCACGGCTGCACCTTTGGCCTCGCGTGGGCTGCGTGTACCAAGTACATTTACGCGGCGGCCCCACCGGGCACCAAAGGTACCATGATGGGCGTCTTGAGTGCGGTCCAGAACGGACTGGGCCGTGGCGTCGGCACGCTGGTCGGCGGGTATCTCTACAACACGTACGGCGCGAGCTTCATGTGGACAGTCACCGATTGCGGTGTGCCGCTCGCGTTGGTTGGGCTCTACCTCTTCTCGTGCACGATCGTCGAGACGTCCGTGACAAGCGATGACGATGGTGCGTCGATCCAAAAGTCGCCCACCGACAAGGACCACCTCCTTGCGTAAAGGGTTTTGAACAAAATACATTTTGGTTGGTTGACATTTTCCAGCTCGTGGCCTTGTTGATGCCACTACGCGACTGGCTAAAAACGATTCAATGCAACGCATTGTCCAATGAGAAGCGAGCTCCCTGCCGTAGGATTTGCCACGTCAGTGCACGCCGTTACTCATATCGATGTCCGATGACTTCGTGATCATAAAGTATCATCTTGGCGCTCGCGGCGCGGCTCGACACCAAGTACAGCAAGCGGCAGCTGTAGAGCATTGGCGCCGCCGTCTCACGTAGGATATTGCGGAGGTTTGGCGAGAATGGGATGCTTTTCACTTCGGACCGAGCATGGCCATTGACGCGCGGCTGTTCGTCGTCGCTCGACGCGCTGCAAAAGTTGCGATAATGTATCTCTCGCTTGGCCAATCAATGAGGTGCGCGACGACCCTTGACGGTATTGGTACCAGCTACTCGCCAAAGCTTCCTTGCCCCGAGACGGCTGGTAGATTTGTTGACAGTTTATAGCTACTATTTTGCTAGCACCAGCGGGGATCATTCATTGGTACGAGGACGGCGGTTCAATTAGTGGCCGTCAAACCACCACCAAATGAAAACTACCAGTGGCCGTCAGAGTAATTGAATGGTCGAGTTCACAGCTCATCCAAAACTACTTGAAGGCACCGAGTGCCGACTAGCCTTCAAGTCGGTGCTCGGAGCCCCGGTCCTCGTCGCTTCAGTGCGACTACTAATCGCACGTTACATCATGGGTACGTCTCCAAGCTCAACCAGGCAACTTGCGAATTCAGCTGCGACAGGGCGTCTGTTATTCGTATCCGGATAGTCCTACAATGCGCGGCCTGGTCGTGGCATCCAGTGTGGAGTGCCGACGAGCCTTTGCGACGACCGCGAGCTTCTATCGCGGATACCTTGAAGCGTGCGTCGCTATGTGCGTCCAATGTGTCTCGTCTCGGTCATAAAAAGGTCCGTGCACGAGATCCATATCCATCGATAGGCGTCGACAGAGTGCGAAGAGGAAGTTCGTCGTTGCAGGACATCCTGTGACGCGTCGTCGTCTGTAACGTCTTGTGGCGGGAACGTGTCGAATGTTACTTTCCGACATCGCTCCGGCGTGCAGCGTGGACATTGAGTGGTCGGCATGGTCGAACGAACGTACTGGAAGCAGCTCCTTCCCGCCAAGCTCGTCTACGTGCTCTTCAACGTCGGCGCGAGCTCGGTCCAGAACTTCCTCCCAGTCTACTTTAGCACGTACTTCAACAAGTTTGAAATCGGCCTCCTCCAGACGATCCCGTGCATCTGCTCGCTCGTCGCGCCGCCGCTCTGGGGCGCGATCGCGGATCTGCTCCAGAAGCAGCGTCTAGTGCACATCCTCTGTCTTGTCTCGACGACGTTGCTCATGTACTCGATCCAGTTTGGCGCCAACAGCTTTGCCTTGACGTGCGCGCTCGCTTTTCTGGCCAATTTTCAGTCGACGCCGCTCTGGCCACTCCTCGATCAAACAGTCCTTGCGCTCGTGACGCGGCTCGGCGCCGAGTACGGCAAGCAGCGGCTCTACGGCGCCGTCGGGTGGGGCGCCGGCGCCTACATCACCGGTCTCATCGTCTCGCAGTACGGCATCTCGTGGGCGTTCAATATGAACCTGCTCTTCTGCCTTCCGACCGTGTGTACGCTGCTACTGATCCCGTCGCCGGACGCCAAAGAGCACAAGTTGGCGAATGCCCCATCGTCGCCGTCGTTTGCCGACGGCGTCCGCATCATCTTTCAAAAGAAGGATGTGCTTGGCCTGCTCCTTGTCGTCTTCCTCGGTGGCACCATGTTTGGCATCATCTCGGCCTTCTTGATGCTCAACTTGTACGAACTCAGCGGCGGGTCGGCGCAGATCGTCGGCATTGCGATCTTTTGCGAGACCTTCTCGGAGCTCCCGGCCTTTTACTTTGCCGACGCCATCATTGACCGCCTCGGGACCGTCAAGGTGCTCGCGATTTCGATTCTGGCATATGGGATCCGCCTCACGTGCTATGCGCTCATGACGAACGCGTGGTATGTGCTGCCGATCGAGCTTCTCCACGGCTGCACGTATGGCCTCGCGTGGGCCGCGAGCACCAAGTACATTTTCGCCGAAGTGCCGCGCGGCACGGAAGGCTTGATGATGGGCATCCTCAGCGCGGTGCAAACAGGCCTCGGGCGCGGCGTCGGCACATCGGTTGGCGGGTACCTCTACAACACGTACGGTGCGAGCTGCATGTGGGCGGCGGCCGACATGGGCGTGCCGCTGGCCTTCGTCGGTCTCTACATCTTTTCGTGCACGATGCCGACGCACAAAGCAGAGACAACCGCCGCTGAGTCGAGTCCGCTTTTGGTGTAATAGAGCTTGCTTTCTACGGTACCATGTACGCGACGTTTGCTTGGTTTCTCGTCGGCTCTATTTGCTGCAACAGAAAGATCGCAGGCTCGATGAACACTCGCCTTCGAGGTGCATTTTGCCTCGGAACCATAACGAAGTTTCTGAATGAGCGATCGAGTTGCAGCACCGAAGTGTTATGGACAAGGTGCATAGTACAGGAGCCTGCGTGCGAGCTGTGACTCGGCGAGTGGGGTCCACCAGGGATGGATCTCTCCGTGCGCAGCTCACTCCCAACGACCCAGTGCTGGTGCCAACTCCCTGGCATTCAGGCGTAGCGCTACGTATGCGAAGTCTTTGTGTCATAATGAAGATAACGCGGAACACGTTCATATATATAAGGTGCAGAGAGATGCCCAGAAAGCTCGATGCGCCCGCGAGAAGAAGACCCAACGAGGGCCGAGACGACGACCTTCCCAGGGCACATGGGCAAAACACAGCGACTTTGCACCTTACTGGCGCGTCGTGACACGGAAAAGATGACGTCAAGTCAGTCATTCGTATTTCGGATACTCAAGAAGCGATACGGTGCAGCGCTACGACTGCCGTTGCATCGAACGGGCACTTGGCTTCGGGCACGACCGTGAAGAGCCGCCAGCTCTTGATGTCAAAGACGTACATGATGCTGTCGTGGCGCCACGTCAGCAGACCAGCCATGGCTGCCGACATGCGGTCAATGTACTGCTGCCCGTTGGCAACCCACGAACTCATTTCGAGCGTGTAGAGACTCGCTGCGCCCAGCAGCAGTGAGGGCACGGGTGTCGCGGGCAACTTTGGGCGGTACAAGCGTTCTGAGACAGCGCCGGCGAGAACGCAGCCGAGACACAGCGCGACGTCGATCCAGACGTTGCGTAGGCGGCCAATCTCGATGTATCCGCTTATGCAGTGCAGCGCCAAGTCCATGTTGACGTACGTGCAGCTGCGGCGCACGGACGCTGCGTACACTTGGGGCGCCGCGATGGTCCAGGCTGCGGCCGCGATCGACGCACCAACCGAGCTTTTCCAGGCATAGAGCGGTGTGTACTGGCGCGTAATGCAGCTAAAGACGTCGTTGGCGATGTAGACGAGCCACGTGAGCTCGGACGCGGCCAAGAGCGTTGGAAACCACGCGACGGGCGGTGCCTCGAAGCGCGCGCCGGCGCCGAACGCCACCAGATCGAGCGGCGCCGTGTTGAGAAGCCAGAGCGCCGTGACTCCCCGGACAATGAGCAGCGCGCGGCCTATCCAGGCGTGGCCCACAAGTCGATTCAGCGCGAAAAGGTTGGAGCCTTCAAAGACGCCGCGGCAGATAATGATTGCGTAGTAGGCGGCAACGCCCGCGCCGAGCATCATCGCGCCCGTCACGTACCGGACGCACTGCTGACAGACGTACGAGAGCCGCGTCGGGATCGCTGCGTCGCTGAGAGCGAGTGTCACTGGGCTCGAGTGCCGCGAAATGGCTGTGATCGTCCGTGTGTCGCCTTGAAACGAAACAACTTCGCGCTGCCCGACCACCCACTCGGCGAGGTAGTGCCACCCAAAAAAGATCCACGAGCGATCAACGTCGTCGAGAATATTGAGTTGGTACAGCTCGGTCTCGCTGCTGTTGGGTCGTTGCAGGTACTGGACGACCTCGATCGAGAGGGCGCGTGCGTCGGCCTCGGCGGCGGCGGCCAAATGCTGCACAAGCGTCGTGTTGAATGCGATAGCACTTGCAAACGCATAGGAGGCAGCGTAAATGTCGGCGCAATTCGCTTCTGCGTAGACGTCGCCAGCGCAAAATGCACTCCAGTCCACCACTGGGTCAATGGTATGCACCGCGTCAAACCCGAGAAGCGCGAAAAGAAGGCCGGTTGGGGACGGGGTGAGGTACTCGAGGTACCACCAGGAGCAAATTGCATCGATGCCAAAGAGCGCATCCAAGGCACTGGACGGGGCGGTCGGCGCAATGTCGGCGCCGCACATGAGATTGCCGCCAACGATGCGCACGCTCGCATCAGTTAGCAACACGCGTGGCACTTGGCCAATGTACGCTTTGATGGGCAGCGACAAGAACGCACTCTGCGCGTCAAGGCGCGTGGTCGTGGTCGTCGCAATCGCGCGGAGCACATGGTCGTAGAGATCCAAGAGCGACCGCGGACAGCTCACGTACACAAGATCAACGGCGCCAAATGGTCCTAACGTAGCCGTCAGCGCACTGAGCCCGCTGTCGAGTGGTGAGGCTAGGGTTAGGTTTTCAAACAACAAACTCGCGCGCGAGGTGTTGGCAAATGCAAAACGCGGGCTGTTTCGAAGCAGCGACTTGCCACCAATGCTCGTCGCATTGGGGCTGACCGCCCAGAGATCACTCGCGAACGCCCAGTACATGCGGTGGGTCGTCTGATACGCCAAATGCAGTTCACCGTCTCGCTGGCTTATCGGCAGTGTATACGAAAGGCCAAACGGCGTCATGATGGTCATGGCGTCGCTAAGGCCAAGGTCCTTGAAGTTTTGCCACTGCAGCAAAAAAATGGAGATCCCATGGGTGCGCCAGTAGAGCACTTCGTCCGTGACTGAAAGAGTGTTGGAATAGACGCTGCGCAGCCATGCTTGACCAGCGCTCGACGCTTGCAAATCCTGGCCAAACCCACTGTCGAACGAGTCGCCCCAGCAAGCGTGCCATGCGTCCCAGTCCTGTACGTTTCGCAGACTCGTCTCGAGGTACACGGCACCATTGCCTCGGCTTGCGACGCAGCGCGCCTGGCGCGTGCTCGTGCTGGCCATTTCCCACTGGCGCGCCAAGTCGAGCCAGCAATACTGCGTAAACATCCAAGGCAACTGACATGGCTCCATCTCCCGGAGACCCGCGACAAGCTCTGCGAGCGGAACTGACGCGTTGAAGAGATGCCGACGCGCAACGGTCGGGAACCATGAGACAGTGGTCGCCGTTCCATTGTATGGCTGAAGGGCGTCTCCGAATGCCGGGTCGTGAAGTGCAACGATAGCGTCCGTCGACGTGAGCAGTTGGCGGTTGAAGGCGTTGGCTAAAAAAGCATGCATGCCTGTCGCGTTGAAGCCTGCCCAGCCAAAGTCATTGGCCATGGAGGTTTCCAGTACTCCGAGATACGCTGTGTTACTCCAAAGGGTCAGACCAATGTAGCAGAGCCCCGAGAGGCGAAGCCCTCTCTGAATGAGGCGAATGCTCAAGAGCCCGTGTGTCGATTCCATTGTCGGTGGCGACGATGTCGGTGCACAATGTGGTAGTACGAGAGAGCCGGTACCCTGCGTCAACTCGAACGCGTAGTCGTCGCGCGAGAGCAAGCACCAGAGCTTGACATCAAAGATGTAGGCGTGGCCGCTCCACGTGAGCGGCAAGAGACCGCACATGACGGCCGATACCAAGTGCACATGATGGCCTGTCGACGAGACATGCAAAGGTGCCATCGGTGGTAGAAGAGCGCTCGACACATTGAGGTTGTGGCGTTGATGCCGCAAGCGCGAGTACAACAACGTCGCGCTTATCGCTGCAAAGAGCACGCTGAGAACGGCCACGCAGCGTTGCATGCTCCCGACGCGCACGAGCCCGCTGTTGCAGTACGCTGTATAGTCCATGTTGACGGTATAACACTGCCGGTCGAGCGTCGTCGAGAGCGTTGGTGGCACCAGCTGGTCCATGCCCACGATAATGCACCAGCCGAGACAGGTCATCGGCGTCAGCGCCCGCCAAACACCGGTTAGCGGCAGTAACACGTCGTGCGCGATGTGCACACCCCAAAGCGACTCCAATGCGAGAAGGGCCGATCGCGAGAATGTTCGCGGAACAAAGAGAAGGCGCGTGATGCCGTTGGTCGTCGTGCTTGCATCCAGCGGTGCCGTCCCAAGACACAGGATCGCGGCAAGGCTGCGAAACACGAGTAGATTCCGGTTGATATAGACCGACGCGACTAACGGCGTGAACTGAAACCAGTCGTTGCCGGGACTGCTGCTTCGGAGGCGCAGTACGAAGAGACAGAGGCTGAGAACCACCAGCGTACTCGTGGTCGCCGTCGCGAGGTACCAGAGGTAGGGTCCCAACCCCGCCGACGCCAAGATTGGGTTGGTCGCGATCGGCGCATACAACGCCGACACGAGTGTAAATGCCGCCGCGTCGCCCTGAAGCGCAATAACTTCTCGGGCACCGATCGCCCAGTCATAGACGTACATCCACCCGAGAAAGTCAAAGTCGGGCGACAAAAGCAGTTGCTGGTCCAGGGTAATGTCCGACGTGTCGTTCATGCGCAGAATCTGCAGCAGTCCAATGTTGATTGCCATCACGTTTGGTACGACCGACGGGTCCAAGATGGGAAGCGCTTGTGCGGTGGCGCTGTAGACAATAGTGGCATCGCGAACAAGGCGGTGGCACGTCGTGGCGTTCGCTGCGAACGACTGGTTGCAAACGTCGTGCGCGGCATTCGGCCCGAGCAACCAGAGCGCATAGGCGGCGGGGAGCGCATGCCACTCGAGCGTCAATGGCATTTGGCTGCCGCAGACGTCGGTAAAGCCAAACGTCTGCTGCACAAAGCGCTGGGGCACCGAGAACGCACACATGGGGCTGCCCGTGAAGAAGCGCAGGCGCGTGTCGGACCAGCGCGCTGGTGTCGGGTACAAGGTTTGTCGTGCCGCGTCATTGCCCAAGAGGCTTGGAGTGGCCACGAGTGCCGCGGCCAGAGTGGCGCGAAAGGCACTCACGCTCGCTAGAAGGCGTGGTGGCGGGGGGACCCACTTGGCGTCAATGATGCCGAGGGGGCCCAGGCCGTCGTGGATGGCTTGCTGGACGGGTCGGAGGGGCAGGCCTTGCACGTACGCCTCGATCTGCGACGGGTTGATGTCGCCAAAGTAGTTGGTCGTGTGCCGCACGAGACTTTGGTTGGCGCCAATCGCGTACAAGTCGTTGTAGAGAAGGTTGCAGAGCATGCTCGTGGTTCGAAACGTCCATCGATCTTGTGTCAATATAGTCTTGAGCGGGAGCGAGAGGAGTTGCCCGAGGGCCGTCTCGACAGAGATCGTCTCAAAGACGCCGATGCCAATGCCGGTGCCGTACTGCAGCGTATATCGATCGAGTCCGTGCGCCGCCCAGAGCGCAACCTCGTCGCGTTCGGGGACCCAGACATGCGACTGGAGTGACGCGAGCCACGTGTCACCGGCGCGTCCGCTGCTCGCAATGGGCTGGCCAATCGCCGAGAGAAAGAGCCCTTGCGTGTTGTCGAGGAATGCTTGAAAGTCAATGTTGCGCAAAACCGTCTCGAGGTGCACGGCGCCGTTCGTAGCGTCGAACTGCAAGCAGCGGGCTTGCCGCTTGGACGTGTACGCAAGCTCCCACGTTTTGTTCAAGTCGGCCCAGCAGTAGGGCGTCACCATCTTGACGACCTGCGCCGTTGCGAGGCGCCGCAGTCCGCGGACGCCATCAAGAAGCGTCGTGAGCTCGCGGTACACGAGGAGCCGACCGTACGCGGGGCTTGTCCCATCCAGCGAAGAAAGGTAGGCGGCGTTGGGCGAGACGACGTCGATGGCGCCAGAGCCGATGAGCGTTAATTGATTGTTGATCGCTGCCACCAACACGGGCGCAGACGACGCAAAGTGGGGTACGAAATAGTCGGTCGCGAGGTACGGTGTAAAAATGTACTCGATCGCAGCGAGGCTGAGGCCGATCGAGACGATAACCGAGAGCACACCACCCACCTCGACAAGGCGATCGTGGCGCCGAGGTATTAGGATGTGTTTCGTGGGCCCGGCCGGCGTTGTTGGCGGGCGAATGTGCACCCGCATCAGATAAAGGTGGCGTTTCCGTTTCCTGCCTGGCTACGGTGTTTGAGGTTGCACTTGGTTTCACCGCGCGAGTAACCGTCGCAGCATGTGGATGACCTTGTGGAGCTGCAACATTTAAAGGAGTTGGACGTGATGTCGAGTTCGGTTGTGTTGAGGGAGTAAGTAAATAAGTACACGGAGTAAGTAAATAAGGAGGAGTTCCGAGTAACCTGTGAGACGGGCAACAACCGATCAGAGGCCAGGAAAAAAAAATGCATCCCGTCTCGTGCGCATGGTTGTCGGCCGACCTCGACGACCTCACCAATTCATCCCGTCTCGTGATTACGCGATTTGATTGGGCAAATCGTTGGATGGAGACACGGAGCAAAAGTCGCCTTTGCAGTTGACATTTTCGATTGCAATGGCCACAAAACTCGAGCAACATGATGTCCACATGTAGATTGGCTTAAGTGGAGCTCGCGCTCACTTTCTTGGTACTACAACAAGGCTTTTGCCGGCTTCCGTCAAGAAGCGACCAAATTGGTTGGCTAAAATTCCATTGAATATTAGCCAATCATAGCGCAGATGGTTTTTCGTCGTATTTTGCAAAAATCGTTCCGAGTAAAATGTGCCCGTCTCCCATCCGTCCCATATTTTTACTCGGAACTCCTCCTAAGTACTCGGTTGTGACTGGGAAGCACGGATCCATGTCGTGGTTGTGATGGCCGAAACAATTTTATGGCATTTGGTTGGTCAATATGTGATGGATTTTGTCCAATCCTATGCCTTCTGACATGGCCAACGTCGCACTCAAGATACGGCTACAGGGCATGGCAAAAGGGGCGGTTCTCCGACATCATTCGTTGTCCAGCCACTATTTTTCGCCCTAGTTGGCTGCCAACCCTTATTCTACAACTCAGTATATGCGCAGCCCGAGGCGATGCGCAACAAGGATAAGACGGTGAGTTGCTCGTCGCAGTCAGGGCTTTCTTGAAGCGTTGAAGCCCGCATGTGACAAGCGGGACCGTGTCCCTGCCCCATCATTCATTCCGAGAGCTACAGGATACTGTAGCCAAGAGAGATAACGACACGACGCTGGTGGAGCGTATCTAGTCGAGATGCTGCGTCATGCGATGGCTGCCGAGGTAGAAACAGTCGCTCGGTGCGTGGACATGGTCCGAGCGGCCTCTTGGGTGGCATCCGACCTCGTGTTTTTTGCTTTGGGGCATCCGAGCTCACAAGATTTCTCGCGTCTGGGTATGCCCGGCTGCGGATACTAGGTGTGTGCAAAGGAGTGCGTCCTCGCCTAGGTACAAGGAACCGCGTCGCCCACGTCGTGCGCGCGTTGATTGGCGCACGTGGTCGTCCAGTCGCGGATTGGGTACCTCGGTGCGTCCAGGTCGCTAGTCGGTTTCCCAACTTGCTGGATTCCAGTTTCAAATTGTCTTTGCCGAGCGCCGACCATGGCTCAGACCGACCACACGACGGCGCTACTACCGCCAAAGGCTGTCTACACGCTCTTCAACATTGGCTTCAGCGCCGTCCTCAACTTCCTCCCCGTCTATTTCAACACGTACTTTGACAAGTTCCAGATCGGCATTCTGCAGACGCTGCCATGCATTTGCTCGATGCTCGCCCCGCCCATGTGGGGTGCGATCGCCGACATTCTCCAACAGCAGCGCCTCATCCACATCTTTTGCCTCCTCTCGGGTGCTCTCCTCATGTACGCGATCCAATTTGCCTCGAAAAGCTTCTTCTGGACGTGCGTGCTTGTCTTCCTCGCCAACTACCAGGCGCAGCCGTCGTGGCCGCTCCTCGATCAAACGGTCCTTGCGCTCGTGACGCGACTTGGCGCCGAGTACGGCAAGCAGCGGCTCTACGGTGCGGTCGGCTACGGTATCGGTGCGTACGTGGCCGGTGTCGTCGTCGCGTCCTACGGCATTTCATGGGCGTTCTACATGAACTTGATTTTTGTCGTGCCCGCGATTGTATTTTTGCAAATGATTCCACCGTGCGACGGCGGGTGCGCATCGCCGTCGAGCGCGTCTTCGTCGCCGCCCGCCTCGTCGTTCTCGGCGGGCTTGAAGACGCTCTTTCAAAAAAAGGATGTGCTCGGGCTGCTCCTCGTCGTCTTCCTCGGTGGCACCATGTTTGGTGTCATCTCGGCGTTCCTGACGCTCAACTTGTATGAGCTCAGCGGCGGGTCGGCGCAAATCGTCGGTATCGCCATTTGGTGCGAGACCTTCTCGGAGCTCCCGGCCTTCTACTTTGCCGACGCCATCATCGCCAAGCTCGGGACGGTCAAGGTGCTCGCGATTTCGATTCTGGCGTATGGGGTGCGGCTCACGTGCTATGCGCTCATGACGAATGCGTGGATTGCACTGCCGTTTGAGTTTCTCCATGGCTGCACGTATGGCCTCGCGTGGGCCGCAAGCACCAAGTACATTTACGCGGAAGCCCCACGCGGTACCGAGGGCTTGATGATGGGCATCCTCAGTGCAGTCCAAAACGGGCTGGCGCGCGGCGTTGGCACCATGCTTGGTGGCTACCTCTACAACGCGTACGGTGCGAGCTTCATGTGGACGGTTGCGGACCTCGGGGTGCCCCTTGCGCTACTTGGCCTGTACGTCTTTTCGCGCACGATTCCGTCGCACGATGACGAGACGACAAAGGAGCTTACGCCGTCCGAGGCTACACATCTCTTGGCGTAATACCTCTATATCAAGGAAGTTTGTGTTTCGTAGGGTCTTGTTGCACGTTGCATGGTCCAGGATACGCAATGTGTCGACGACTACCGCAGAAATTGTGGGGAACTAGGGAGACACTTTTCGCCATAGCCTATACAAAAATAAGGTTCCACTCCCTTGAAGTTATGGCCAACGAGCGAGCCGTCTCGTCGATGATAGCATCGCAAAGACGACGACACAAACAGCGCCTGTCGGTCTTTGCGCGCCGGTCGACATGACTCGGACGATTATGTTGAAAATGTTGCAAACGTAAAAAACAACAGAATTTTTACGGTTATCAAGAAGGGTATATTACACCATGTTGTTGCCGTGAAATGCCCTAAAACGCCACGACATTGGTTGGAAAATCAGAGCGAACGATTTGCTCGTTGGCCCAGACTTCCATCGCTTCGTCGACCTGCTCGGAGAGAATGCGCGTGACAACCATGTTTCCGTTGATGTTGACCATGGTCGCGATACGGTCCATGATAAAATCGATCGCAACGACGTACGAAAACGCCGCGGGAAGGTTCTGGCTCGGCAAGACCGTCTTCCAGACCGTAATGAGCATGACGAGACCCGAGTTGGGGACGGGCGCGGTCCCCATCGACGCCAGGATGCTCACAAAGAACAAGATGATCCACTGCGGCAAGCCAAGGCTGTCGCCGTGCCCCGCCATGTTGGCCATGAACGTGACAAGAATTGGATAGTACATGCCGCACGCGTTCAAGTTGACGGGTGTCCCGAGCGTCATGATGAGTTGCGCAAACGGCCGCGACACCTGGCGGGTCTGGTGGATCGATGAAACAGCAATGGGCAGCGCGGCCATCGACGACGCACAGCCAAACGCAAAGACGTACGCCGACGTGAGTTGCCGGAGGTAGGCGTACGGGTTGATGCGCGTCGTGAGAAAGAGGAAGAGCGGCATGACGAGCAAGACATGGCTCATACTCCCAAGCACGAACGCGAGGACGGCGAAGCCCACTTGGCCCGCGACGTTGTTGGCGTTCGAGCTAAACGAAATGACGGCCGATGCAATTAAAAAAACGACCGCGATCGGCGTGAGGCGCATGACCGTGTTGATTAAAATCAACATGGCGTTCCGCGTCTGCTTGATGAGCACGACGAGAAGGTTGCCCGAGATGGGACCTGCAAATGACTTGGCGATCGCGACGCCAAACGGCAGCGCAAACATGATGATGCTGAGGAGCGACCCGTTTTGCACAGCGTTAAAGATGTTGTCGGTCACGATCAAATGGAGCACCGAGATGAGCTGGTCCGTGAGCGTGAGCGTCTGGAACGGCGTCTCGAACCGGTAGAGGCCGTTGACATCAACCGCATCAAAGAGCGTGGAACGTCGGGACGTGTTGGCCGCGCTGCATGCAATGCGGCCACTCGGAAGCATCTCGAGATAGCGCAAGTTGTGGCACTGGAGCGTGAACGTCAAATTCGCAGCTGCTTTCGCGACCGCCGGCGCTGCGTCCGGCACAAACCGGGACTGAAAGAGCACCGAGATCAAGATACCTTGCACGGCCGAGAAGGTGACCGAAAGCACGATGGTGAGCACCGTGCGCCACCCGAGGAGCGTCGTCTTCTTGGCGGCAATGACGTCGGCGACGGACGCGGCCATCGAGCAAAACACCATGGGCACGATGAGGCACCGGAGCGCACTTACAAAGAGGTCGCCCGGGAGTGCGATCCACGACGCAGCGTCGGGACTCACATCCAAACGTGAGAGGGCAAAGCCAACCGCAAGGCCGATACCCGCGCATACGAGGATCGAGAGCGGGTTGAGCGTCTTGGCGCCGTCGAGGTAGTCGCCATGCGCGCGGTTGCGCGACGGCGACTCTTCCAAGATGGCTTCTTCGCTCTGGTTGCCTTCGTAGAGCCCGAGCGCCGGCTTGGTCGTAAAATTCGTCCGGAACGTGTACGACGCGGGTGGGGGTTTGCGCGTAAACGCGTTGCCAACGACGACCGACTCGACATCGGACGCATTGTCTTCGAACGAGCTCTGGAGCGAGATGGCATCCGATACGGGAGGTGGCTCTGAGCCATCGCCAAAGAGGACGATGCCGCCGCGCTGGCTGTTGGTCGCCGCCATGTCAAATGTTCGAGACGCGAAGGCGGTGGTCGACGGCTAGAACATTAGAACAAATCGTGGCGCAAAGTATCTTCCTTTGGCAAGTGTTGGGACGCAGGGTCGTTGACGTTGGACGGCTTCAGCGTGTTCGACTAACTGTATGCTTATAGTTGGTCGCTAGATGTTGTGGGCTTTTTTTTCGGCGAGTTGTATCGGTAGTCGGTCGACGGACCTGCTGCGTCTCGACGCCGACCGCGGATGTGTACAGTAGGATAGGATGAGCACCTACCACGATGGTGTGCAAGTGTATGTGGTGTGAGTTGCGCGTGCGTGACCACCATGCCCGTCGCTGCTACGTTGTGCAACACCTTGCTCCTCGTCTCTGACCGATGCGAAGGGTTGGGGCTACGTGAGGGCTAGGTTAGTGAGTGAACGGATGAGCAAGCCAGCCGCGTCTCTACGTCAAGCACGTTGGTTTGCTCTGCTCTCCTCTTCTGATGCAGACGTTGCGTCTCGTGGTGTAGGACTATAGTCATCGGGGAAGTTCAATGCAGTAGTTGTTGTTGAAGTGAGTCTATTTAGATATAATTTACACTGAACTGTTTTTGGGGGGTGGACTTTCGATTCAGAGCGTGTTGTGCTAGACGGCAGCAGCGGCGAGGCTTAGCCGTGTTGAAGGCGAGGCGTGTGGATGGCGCACGCCGGGACGAAGTGGTCACGAAGCCAGGCATCGTGGCGCAGGGCGTGCATCATTTGGAAGAGGCACATAGCGTCGTATTTGGTTCTTCAATAAATTGTAAATTGTACTAATATATTTGTGTCGTATGATTTAAGCCGTCGAGTTAATTCATGTTATCGGTTGCCCACGTCTCGACCGTCTCGTCAAACTGGTCGGCGAGAATGCGCGTGATGATCATATTGCCGTTGATGTTGACCATCGTGTTGATGCGATCGATGAGAAAGTCGATCGCGACGACGTATACGAAAGCGTGGGGCAGGTCCTCGTTGGGCAGCGTCGTGCGCCACACCGTCATCAACATGGCGAGACCGGCCTGCGGGATCGGGGCCGTGCCCACGCAGCCGAGGAGACTCACAAAGAAGAGGACGGCCATCTGCGGCGCGCCGAGCTGGCTCGTGAGGCCGGCGTAGTT